CGCCGCCCGAAGACAGCGCGTGAGCTACACGCGCCGCCGCAGCTCGTCTTGCCGCTGCTGCCGTTCCGCCGCTGCTGCCCCGGATTGCACGGATTGGTTTCCGTGGCAATCTAGCTTTGCTTAGTGCGCCTACCTCACGCTTCAAGAGGTAAATTTTCGAATCCATTGTCGTTAGATTCGATTACGTTTAAATTGAATATATATGTTCGTTCTAGTATGAAACTTGTATGATTTTATGTTACTACATGAAATCGTTTATTTATTGCGAGCATGATTATTTGATTTAAACGCGAGCATGCTAATTGATTTAAATTCGGTTGAATAATTAAGCATGTATGTTGTTTTTAATTTCGCTGGAAGCGCAAAGGTACGCAATTAATTGTTCTCAATTATCGGGCATGTGTTTATGTGTTTTAAAGTTGTTTAAATTGCATAAAATTTTTGTTTTTCACTGCGTACACGTGTCCGATTCCCAACAACGTATGCTATTAGTTCTATTAAATCTTTTATCCATGTGTGTCTTTTTACAATTTCATATACAACTTTTAGTGGTTTTATTAATTCTTCAGTCAGATTGTTGACAAAATGTTCTCTATTCTTATCTACTTTTCTTTAGTTTCTTAGTTTAGATTTGTTGGAATTTTAAATGTTTGCCAATTTTTAAACCCTCTTGTTGTGTTATGGTATCGACTTGTTCATAAGTGAATTCATTATATTGTATTATATGTTTCTACCGATTGGTGATCTTGCTAGAATTTTTTTTTTCCAAAAAGTTGGTTAAAATATTCTCTAAGCATTATTTTTGTATGAATGTATTTTTCTTGTCACTAAGTTTTCTACATCGAATCTCACTACTTCTCGGGCACCGATGCTGATAACTTCTTTGTGAATAGATCAACAATATTTTTTCTCTGAAGTGACTCCCTCGACTTAGACATCACCTTCATAAGGGTCTCTCTCATCAAATGATATTCCTTAGTATGTGATTGAATCTCACTACTTGCGTCAGGAATGACATCAAACTATTGGATAAAGTTCGGTATCCATATAGCTTCTTTTGCAACATTGGATGCAATAACATATTCAACATTGGTGGTGGAATCAACCATCGTATGTTGCTTGAACTCTTCCAACACACGACACCTCTAATGATCTTGAATATTAATCCTGATTTTGATTCAGAATTCCCATAGACCAAAAAAAAGTCCCTAGTTATTCGTAAGTACTTAAGGATGTCTTTCATGGTCTTCTAGTGAGTTGAACTAAGGTCAAACTTATATTTTCTTGTGACACTCACATCATACGCAATATCTGGTCTAGGACACAACATGCCATACACAATAATTCTTCAAATGGCGGAAGTATATGGTGTTCTCTTCATATCCTCGATTTTTTTTTTTGCTATCTGAGGACACATATATTTCGAGAGACGAACTCCATGTGACATTGGAAATAATTCATTCTTGGATTCTTCTATACTAAATTTTTTTACAATGGTGTCTATGTACAAGGATTAGGACAATCCAAGCATCATCCTCGATCTATCTATATAGATACGTATTCCCACAACGTATGATGCATCTCACAAATCCTTCATCGAGAAACACATGGATAATTATGTTTTTGTTGTTGGAAACATCCCTACATCATTCTCAATGAATTGTATGTCATAAACATAAAACACTAAATGAATGCAACTGCACTCCCACTAACTTTCTTGTATAAACAAAGTTCCTACGAGTTCTTCTCAAAATCAAAATTTTTGATAGTTGTGTTGAACCTAAGGTTCCAACTTTGGGATGCTTGTTTCAATCCATAAATGGATCGCTGGAGTTTGTAAACCTTTTTTCTAATCTTCAAAAGATATGTAGCCTTCTGGTTGCGCCATATAAATTTAATTCTCAATTCGCCATTAAGGAAAGCGGTCTTCACATCCATTTGCCATATCTCGTAGTCAAACCATGCATATATGGCCAACAAAATCATAGTAGACCTTAACATAACGACCGGTGATTTTATTTTCTGATAGTCAACCTTTTGGCACCAACCTAGCTTTAACCTTTTTATCTGCTCCAATTTTTCGATTATAGATCCACTTGTAGCGTAAGGGAGTGATTCCCTCGGTTGGGTATACCAAGGTCCATACCTTGTTGGAGTACATGTAGTCCTTGTCTCTTTCCGATACAGTTACGTTGAAGGTTCTTGGATCACATCCTTGATCAACTTCATCTTGATCATTATCAACGAGGAATAACTTATCAGGCATTTTCTGAACTCTGCCGTATCTACGCGTTGATGGTTCATGAGGTATATTAGTGGTTTATTGAATTGGTTCATGAGGTATATTAGTACTTATCCTTGAACCTCATATTGTGGTTCTCGAAATTCTTCGAGATATACCATGCTGCCTTTTCTATCTAATAGAAACTCCCTTTCTATGAAGACTGCATTCTCGAGACAAGCATTGTCGCCTCAGAAACATAGTAGAATTCGTATCCCATGGAATCCTCTGGATACCCCCAGAAAATAACATAAGTTGGTTTATTATCCAACTTGTCTCCCACTAGGCGCTTCCCGTAAGCAGGACAAACCCATATCCTAATATTTTTGAACTTGAATTTTCGGGAGTGCCAAAATTCACATGGTTTGAATTTTGCTGCTTTAGTGTCAACTCTATTCCGCAAATACGTGGCTACTAGGATTGTATTAAACCATAAGTATGCCGGTAGCTCGGTGAACCCCATAGATTGAACTATGTCCAACAAGGTTCAATTCCGATAGTTCTTTTAATTGAGGAGTTCTAGGTCGATTCCATTGAGAGAGAATCACATTCTCTTTGAGATAGTAAATAAACTCGATACTTAAGTATTGTCCACCACGATTGGATCGTAGTTTCTTACTATGGCGACCGAGTTGGTTTCTACTTGTTGTCTAAATTATTTGAACCTTCCAAAAGTTTCAGATTTGTACTTCATTAAGTAGACAAAACCGCACCTCAAAACATTATTGGTAAAACTAGCAAAATAGTTAAAAATATCCCTTACACTAACACTTAGCGGCACACACGTGTCTGTATTGATCAAATCTAATAGACCTTCAGTACGTTCCATTTGTTAGGACCGTGAGTCCGAAGAGCCAAACATTAATTCAAAGAGATTCAATTTTCAGTCGATTTTTATTTTTTTTAAGCATAATCATGCAGATTAGATTCTCATGATGCATAATTAAATCTATAAATCTAATATATGAATTACATATATATTTCAAAAATCCTTTTGTGTGCCTCTTTTATTTTCATCTTCAGCGCACAAACGGGGATCCACGCCAAGCTTTCAATCCTTGAAAAGTTGTTGTCTAGAAATTTTCTGGAAAAATCCTTGATGGTTTGTCTGATGGAAAAATCATTTGAAATAATTGTATCTCCATAAGTCGGAAGCTATTTTAGAAATTTCAACCCAATCCGACGAACGATTGATTTATGATGAATTTCCTCGCAGGACTGCTCAAAAATTTCGGGAATACAATTAAGCTCATAAGAACCCTCAATCTTCTATTGTATATCCCAGATTAATAATTTTTCAACAAGGCTGGGTTTTTTCTTGAAGAATTATAAACGTATAATTGCGAAATTGAGAGAGAAAAGATGAAGGTAAAAATATTTTCTCTCCAATGTGAAATAACCGTGTAGAACCAAGTCTATCTCTCATCAACCTTATCTCTATTATATATAGCACAAGGTTACAATCACACATAGAAATAATTACCAGGAAACAAATCCCACTCCTTTTATAACTCCATATAGTCAGAAACTGCAGTCCAATGGGGACTTAATTTTCGGCTATATTAATTATAATATATAATATTGGTTGAATTTATTTTCTCGATTAATTAGAAAATCCGTTGGGCCACAACAGAGACTAAAGGAGAAAATATAATCTTGGACATCTAATTATTAATTTAATTCAAACTCTAAAAACAATTTATTTAATTAATTATTAAATAATTATTTACTTTCCACTACCAAATAATTATTAAATCCCATTTATATTCTCAAATATTACATTCAAAACATTTATCTAGATTGTGAACGTTTATCTTTATATTCTAAACGAACTTTCAAAATGATCTTTATGTGCACCGTAGTACACCATTCGGATACTATTAGAATATTAGACTTATGCTTTTAATTAATTGACAATGATCAATTTAAATACATTGAATGCCCCTGTGCAGAATTTCATAAAATGATAATATACTATTTTATTAATTCTTTAATAAATTATGTAGCTAAAACCGAGACTTTTAATCCACTATCCCAACACCATTTTCCCTATACATGGCGATTTGGTAATTTTCTCTTTGAGACGGGATTCACAAGTTTGCAGTGAGTTCACACCATTCAAAGTGAATAATACCCCACAAACAAACTCGTTCATCTTTCTTAAAGAAATGTGACCTAATCGTGCGTGCCAAAGTTGTGCAAGGTTTTGATTTATATCTTTATGTTTTGCTGATATAACATGAACATGTATTTCGCTTGGATTTAGTTCGTCGAAGTTTTTTCCTAGTTGTCCCTTACAAATCATACTCTCACCCTTTTTATAATGCAAATCGAGTTTCCAAAAACAAAAGTAAAGCCATCGTTGTCGAAAATATGAATAGAAATAAGATTTCGAGTAAGAGATGGAACAAATGCACAATTGTTCAAAACAATAGAAAAAGTAGAATCCAAAACATCTAAAAAAAAATAGTCCCTATGGCTTCAGCAACAACTTTTGCTTCATTTCCCATCCTTAGGTAGGCCTCACCCGCTCTAAGGTTTCTATTTCTTATCATGAACTGCAAATCATTACATAGATGTGAGCCATAACCATTATCCAATATCCATGAAGAAGAATTAATAAACAAATTAAATTCTGTAAAAGACACACCCTTCTCATAACGTTTCTGGTCTAGGTAGGCCTTGCAGTCGGCGCTAATGATCTTTTTTTTCCACAATGATGGCAAGGTTCACCAACTTGCTTGTTGACTTTGTCCTTGGACACCCAACTAGTCTCACCCTTCTCAAACCTCTTGCTTCAAGGGGAACTCCTTTCCTTGCATTTTCTTCTAGACATAACCTTTCTTTCCCAAGGAGCAATAACGAGAACAAAATTCCTCTTCTTAGTTGTCGATTTGTGGCTGACCAACATGTTCAAAAACTCATTCAAGGGGAGGTCGAACTTTTTCAGGTTGAAGTTCACTATAAACCGTTTAAAGGAAATAGAAAGGGACAGGAGGATCAAATACACCGAGAGCTCTCCTGGGAGGGTGATGTCAAGGTTCACCAACTTCTCAAGAAGAGTGATCATTTTGAGACCGTGCTCGTGGACCAAAGAATTTTCACGCAGCCTCATAGTGATCAACTCCTTAGTAGTTGGGTTCATCGACGCTCTATTATCCTCATTGTACATGCTTTCAAGACGATCCTTGATATCAAAAGCATACACGTGAGTCTCATACTTTCTCGCGAGCTTCGGCACTATGGATGCTAGCATGTAGCACCTAGCATGGAGGTAAGTACGGCTATCTTTGACCAAAGGGGCCAAGGGGGATCCCATAAATTATAAGTCAGAGAAGGAGCCCCAAGAAAAAAAAAATGTTGTATCCGTCTCTCATCATTTTTTCACACCTCAAATGTGGTAGTTTCAGGAGCAGTCACATTCATATGGAGAACAGTAGGGGGTCTCTTATTGAGCACATAAACGCGCTCTTTAGCAGTTACCACATATTTTAGACTACCAATCATATCCACGTAGTTGGGGCCCGTGAGTTTGTTTTTGTCGAGCATCGAATGTATAGGATTCATAAACATGATTAGCGAGAATGTTTTAAGAAGACAATTATTAGAGATAATTTTATAATTAACGATTACAATGAAATATGTGGATTGTTATCATTTAATTGTTCTCCCACTAATTTTATTGATTTTCATTACCCTCTAGCAGACTAATGAGAAATTATGTTTTTCCTTAATGGACTTTAAGAACTGATAGCGCAAATATAGCCCGTTATTAATCTAGCCCGATTACATAATGCAAAAAGTAGGTCACTATAAATCACATTACATTGTGATCCTAAAGATAATATGCATCACACTTGATAACGACCGAAGTTAATCCCGCGAATATCAAAGTCTTTGTGTGTTAAGTTCAACCCACCAATATGAGATGCCATAATCCAACTCAACCATACTAATACAGTACCTAGTTAATCTAGTCGAACACGTTAAATCAGTAGAGTTGCATCTTTAGTTGTATTTATATATAGTGTCAATTAAATTACATTTTATCTCATAATAGCACTACCTGCTAACATGGCTTATTGTACTATTATAAGGGGCTACACATAATCGAAGTATTGGTAGAATGAAATAAGAAAGAACGACAATTCGATTCTTCTTTATAGCTTGAATTATTATTCTTAAGAATTATGAACAATGGGTTTTAAGTTATGATTATGTCATAAGAATTATTTTAAATAGAGATAACACATATTGTTCGAAACAGACATACGATCATCATCACACATAATTACGATTACTTATCATATGATATAATAAATTAAAGCGACCAAGTGCAAAATAATTAAGGGGCATCTGTCAATCATAAATAGATTAAATAATATTGAGCCCCATTTATTATGTGACATGCAATAATTATTTGTGTTCTATTTCTTAAATTAGTTCAACAATTTAAATTCATAAATTAAACTAACACTTATTTATTGAAATTTATCGATTAATGTGTGAATTACTTGATTGGCCTTAATTGATAAATTATTTTAAAGTTAAAATCAATTTGTTTTAATCTTAATTTAATTTTTTTTAAAATATATATATTAATGGATATTATAGGACTTTGTACTTTTCGTAAACGCTGTAAATATTTACCTTTTTCCTTATTCTAGGCCGACAAGGTTTTTAACGAAGCCCCCTTGTGCCTTCATTCCCGCTCAGTTTATCTTCCATGTACATATAAAAGCTGGCTCTACAAGTTCTGCTTTGCCTTTTGCTCCAGTCAAAAGATCTGGCAGACCTGCCAAACCACCTGCCTATCTTAAAAAAATTCTTTGTGCCAAAACTCCCTATACCATTTCCAGTTTTCTGGGGTATCACATGTTGTACCCAGTGTATAGATTTTTTGTGATCAATGTTTCCATTAAGTCAGTGCCCTCCTTCTTTCATCAAGCTGTCAAAAATTCTAAATGGACAACAACCACGGTGGAGGAGATTACTGCTCTTAATTGAGCATAATCAAACTTGGGATGTAGTACCTCTTCCCCTTGGCACACACAAGGTGGGATGTAAATGGGTCTACAAGATTAAGAAGAAATCAGATAGCCCTATTGAAAGATATAAGGCAAGATTAGTTGCAAAGGATTTCACTCGAAGAGAGGGAGTAGACTTCACATAAAGTTTCTCACCCGTTGCTAAGTTAGTAACTATCAAAACCCTTATTTCTTTAGTTTCCTATATTTGCCAAATGGATGTTAATAATGTATTTCTCAATGGAGATTTATTTGAGCAAGTATACATGGACATTTCCCTTGGTTATAACTATATGGGTTTCGATAAGATTATCGGCAGTAGAATTGTAAATTGACTGAAGCTCGTATCTCTTTTGGCCTCACACAGTCCAAGTAAGATTACACACTTTGCACCAAAGGCAGACATCAAACCTTCATTGCATTTTTAGTATATGTAGATGAATATCATTCTTGCTAGCCTTAACTTGCAAATTCTTACAGATTTAAAGTCTCTTCTTAATTCCAAGTTCAAGCTTAAAGATCTTCGCAACCTCAAGTATGTCCTTGGACTCAAAGTTGCCAAGTCACCTAAAGGGATTGTCCTATGCCAAAAACATTAAACCACATGAAGATATTTGAAGATTCTGGTTATTTGTCAAGCAAGCCAGTAAGTCTTTCGATGGACCCAAGTTGAAGTTAAAGTCTGAAGATGGTCATCTTATGGAAGATGAATTCATGTATCGCAGGATCATTTGCAGACTTTTGTACCTTACAATTACGCGGCCAGACATTTGTTATGTGGTTCATAAGCTTTCTCAATTTTCATCCAAACCACAGTCACCCCATCTTTAAGCAGTCCATCATCTTCTTTGCTACTGAAGTCATGTCCAGGATTAGGTGTTTTGTATGATGCCAAGTCTTCTCCTACACTAAAATCCATCTTCGATGCGGATTGGGGTTCTTGTCCAGACACTCGCCGTTCAACAACAGGTTTTCGTGTAATTTTGGGTGACTAACTCATCTCCTGAAAATCCAAGAAACAACCCACAATACCTCGATCCTTTGTCAAAGATGAATACCGTTCCTTGCCAGCCGTTGCAAGTGAACTCATGTGGTTGAAGCAACTTCTAAAAGATTTAAACCAGCCATCAGACTTTACTTTTCTTTTATGCGACGGTTTAGCCATCGCTCACATTGCCGCAAATCCAATCTTTCACGAGCGAAACAGACATATTGAAGTGGATTGCCACTTTATCTTAGATCAAGTTAAAAAGGGGCATGTTCGTCTCATGCCTGTTCCCTCAACAAATCAACTCGCTGACATCTTTACCAAACTGTTGCCATTACCTAGTTTCTCTAGCTTCATTGCCAAGATGTCGCTTGAAATATTCACTCCGGCTCCATCTTGAAGGGGGATTAAAGTAATTATTATTTAAATATAGTTAGTTAGCATGTTGTCTAACTATTCAGTTAGAGTTAAGCTAACTAGGGTTATGCAGTTAGAGTCAGTCTAACTAGGATTTTGCATGTTTGTTACTTAACACTTAACTTACGTCACATATATATATATATATATATATATATATATATATATATATATATATATATATATTGTATCCTTAAATTATAGCTCTCTCGAGTATATTCAATACACAAGATTTTCTTCTTTTTCTCTCAACTACACTCCATGAATTGAAACTCAAACCTCTAATAAAAGACCCACACGAGGGAACTCTACTCAGTAGGAGAGAGAAAGAGCAAAGATTTTCAGTATCATGTAATATTTGCAGCAGTGATTATGTAAATTATTGTGGATCTATAGCATATTCAATAATGTATTTTCATATATTGAGTTAATGGGAAAACATATTAACAATAATAATAATAAGATAAATGGGAAAATCAACCAAGTGGTAGTAAGTAAACAAAGACAAATGCATTTGTTATAAGAAATGTGATATGGAATCGCAATCCCTGCCTTGGTCTCATTAATTGTGCGGTAAAACGTGTTTACTCGAATTCCACGTTTACTAAAAGTTATTATGCGTTTATCATTTCAATTTGTTTTATCATGTAAAATAAATACGTACTCTTTACTTCTGCCCCCTTATCTTGGATTTTCTATTGATAGAATCGCAAAGTCCAACAAAATATCGAAAAGCCCAATGAATTGGGATATGTGTATTGGTTCAATGTGATTAGGGCTTGTTCGGTTACTATAAAGTTCTAATGATTAAATAGTAGGGTTAGTGACACATTCGATTGTCAATATCCTTACTTACTAAAACCCGCTACAAAAAATAAAGTCTGTTACTGAATACCAGTATTTCATTCAATTAGTAGTCTCTCCTCTAGAGATAAATTTAATCGATGTAATTAAACAAGTAAAAGACTATTTTATCCTTAAAACTACAAGCTAATTTTCTAATTGAATAATTAATTATTCGGTTAATATCATTTACATCCCTTGTACTAATGACAAACATTCACTTATCTTTCATATACTACCAAAATCTTCACTTACCTCCCTGAATTAGATCTTGTACATATTATACCCTTATGTAAGAAAAATATCTTCCTATATATAACAATAATTTTCTTCAACTTCCATTATATTAATAATCATTTAATTATTATTATTATTATCATTTTTTTTTCTCTTAAAAGTAAAGTATATTAAGAAACAATAATAAAAATGTATTTATTTTCTTTATCTTAAACCTGAACATATATATAAATTAAATTTAAATTTCGATATAATTAATTTCCATCTATTAATATTTAATTATTATTTTTATTTTTGTCAAAATAATATGCAATGAGTAATTGATATCACTAAAAAAATTAATATGTATAATTAATTTTAAATGGTAAATACCATTGTAAACATTTTCAAATAAATAATAGAAAAACTATTGAGTAAAAAATCATTTTCACTATGATTTTTATGATACTTTATATTTTATTTATCTTTACAAGAAATATCAGTTATATGAAAAATATGATTTCAGAGTTCAATGCAAGTAAACATAAA